ATTTATGACTGTATGTTTGTATGTGTGTATGCCTGTATTATGTATGTATGAATGTATGTATGTATGCCTGTATGTTTGTATCTTTGTATGTATGTTTGTGTGTATGTATGCCTGTGTGTATGTGTGTATGCATGTTTGTTTGTATGTATGTGTGTATGTATGTATGCCTGTATGTGTGTTTGTATGCAATGTATGCATGTATGTGTGTGTAAGTGAATGGGTGAGCGTGTGTATGTGGGTGTATGTATGCACGCGCGGGTTTTTGCATGCACTTTACAACTCATGCTTTTGTGTTCTTTTATAATATTCATAATATGCATAACATCATATGATCATAACATGCTTTATTAGTAAAATACAATTGCTGTGTGAAAGATGGTTGACTGGAAAGGCCGAATGTAAGACGGGCCTGCGTGCCCAATTTGTGACCCTTTGAAAAAAAAGTTCGTTCGTTCGTTCTATCTATCTATCTATCTATCTATCTATCTATCTATCTATCTATCTATCTATCTATCTATCTATCTATCTATCTATCTATCTATCTATCTATCTATCTGCCTGTCTGTCTATCTGTCTATCTGTCTGTCTGTCTGTCTGTCTGTCTGTCTGTCTGTCTGTCTGTCTGTCTGTCTGTCTGTCTGTCTGTCTGTCTGTCTGTCTGTCTGTCTGTCTGTCTGTCTGTCTGTCTGTCTGTCTGGCCAATTATCCCGACATGTGTCATTTCATAGCAATCTATTTTCAAAGGCCTGTATACATTTGACTTGTCCAGAATATGACACTCTAGTTAACTAACACTGATTACCAACAATATTCGCATCTACATGAAACTATTTAACAGTCTATCCATCGACTTTTAAAATTACATCATTGTAACACTTATCTAATACTAAATTAAATCTATCCCACCATTTATGTGACATTAAACTGCAGACTGTTGAGTATGTTTTAATACTGAATTGTACTTTGATTATTTCCATCAGCCCCCAGCTCACGAACAAGCGGCCCGCTGATGTGTCCCCATGTGACAGCCAACAGTAAGCAACATATACTGGGCATCTCTAGCGGCTCACTCCCACCAAAAACAAGAGACATCAGCGACCATGTTGCTTCCTGTCTGCATTTGTTTATGTTTATGTCTGTCCACACATGTGTATGCACTTCTAGCTCGGTAACTTCACAACACCGCTGACCGGAGACAACTAGACATGGCTGTGTGACATTTTTGGCGATTTTCTAATTAACGCCGTATTAAACGAAGAAACAAAGAAACCATCTGTTGTTGTCTAGTTGTGATGTTTCTCTAATAGCCTGGATGACATTTAAAACTATTGTTGCACACGGCGCTAACAGAGGCTAACAAGCGAGCCTCTTTCTAAAGAACATGAAAGTTCAACAAAGGTTTTAAGGCAACAAAGATAACACCAGAATGTTGCAATACAGTAGAAGAGAAATTTTTCAGTAAGTAATCAAATGCACATAGTTGAAGACTAATGAATTATTAGTTGCGGCTGATTTGGGAGACGTCGAGGGTTAACAGAAGTAGGGGAGAAAAAACAGAAATGAAGATGCAAGAGAAGGGAGAGAAAAGAGATAGTGGAGAAAGCTGGCAATATTTTTTGAAAGAAAAAAGTAGATCATCCACATACATACAGAAGCAAGTAAATATTTTGGTGAACAAACGAGTGTGTAAATACACAAGTATGTGAACATAAGAGTGTGTGAATACAAGAGTATGTGAACAGACGAATGCGTGAATACAAGAGCATGTGAACAGACGAATGCGTGAATACAAGAGTATGTGAACAGACAATTGCGTGAATACAAGAGTATGTGAACATAACAGTGTGACTATTAGAGTATATGAACAAACGAGTGTGTGAATACACAAGTATGTGAACAGACAATTGCGTGAATACAAGAGTATGTGAACAGACGAATGCGTGAATACAAGAGTATGGGAACATAAGAGTGTGACTATTAGAGTATGTGAACAAAAGAGTGTGTAAATACACAAGTATGTGAACAGACAAGTGCGTGAATACAAGAGTATGTGAACATAAGAGTGTGACTATTAGAGTATGTGAACAAACCAGTGTATGAATACACAAGTATGTGAACAGACGATTGCGTGAATACAAGAGTATGTGAACATAAGAGTGTGACTATTAGAATATGTGAACAAACCAGTGTGTGAATACACAAGTATGTGAACAGATGATTGCGTGAATACAAGAATATGGAAACAAAAGAGTGTGTGAATACACAAGTATGTGAACAGACGATTGCGTGAATACAAGAGTACGGGAACAGAAGAGCGTGTGAATAAACAAGTATGTGAACAGACGATTGCGTGAATACAAGAGTATGTGAACATAGGAGTGTGACTATTAGAGTATGTGAACAAAAGAGTGTGTGAATACACAAGTATGTGAACAGACGATTGCGTGAATACACGAGTATATGAACATAAGAGTGTGACCATTAGAGTATGTAAAAAAAAGTGTGTGTGAATACAAGAGTATGGGAACAAAAGAGTGTGTGAATACAAGATATGAAAACAAAATAGCGTGTGAAACAAGTGTTTACTAATACACCGGTATGTGAAAAAAAAGAGTGTAAATACAAGAGTATGCTGGGGTAAAGAACTACGTGAACCAGGTGGTGTGTGAATACGAAAGCATGTGAACAAAAACATGTGTGAATAAGATTATATGAACAAACCAGTGTGTTTGAATACATGAGTATTTGAACACAAGAGTGTGTGAATAAAGATTATATGAACAAACCAGTGTGTTTGAATACATGAGTATTTGAACACAAGAGTGTGTGAATATCAGAGTATGAGAGCAGAAAATGGTTTTAGATGTAAGAGTGTGTGAATACAAAAGTAGGTGAACAAAAGAGTGCGCGAATACAAGAGTATGTAAACAGACAAGCGTGTGAATATAAGAGTATGTGAACAGAAGAGTTTGTAAACAGAGGAGTTTGTGAACAGAAGTGTTTTTAACAGAGGAGTTTGTGAACATAAGTGTTTGTGAACAGAAGTGTTTGTGAACAGAGGAATTTGTGAACAGAGGAGTTTGTAAGTGTTTGTGAACAGAAGTGTTTGTGAACAGAGGAGTTTGTGAACAGAGGAGTTTGTGAACAGAGGAGTTTGTGAACAGAAGTGTTTGTGAACAGAAGTGTTTGTGAACAGAAGAGTTTGTGAACAGAGGATTTTGTGAACAGAAGTGTTTGTGAACAGAGGAGTTTGTGAACAGAAGTGTTTGTGAACAGAAGAGTTTGTTAACAGAAGAGTTTGTGAACAGAAGAGTTTGTGAACAGAGGAGTTTGTGAACAGAGGAGTTTGTGAACAGAAGAGTTTGTGAACAGAAGAGTTTGTGAACAGAAGTGTTTGTGAACAGAAGTGTTTGTGAACAGAAGTGTTTGTGAACAGAAGAGTTTGTGAGCAGAGGATATTGTGAACAGAAGATTTTGTGAACAGAAGAGCTTGAGAACAGAGGGGTTTGTGAACAGAAAAGTTTGTGAACAGAAGTGTTTGTGAACAGAAGAGTATGTGAACAGAAGAGTTTGTGAACAGAAGTGTTTGTAAACAGAAGTGTTTGTGAACAGAAGTGTTTGTGAACAGCAGTGTTTGTGAACAGAAGTGTTTGTGAACAGAAGAGTTTGTGAAAAGAAGTGTTTGTGAACAGAAGGGTTTGTGAACAAAAGAGTTTGTGAACAGAAGAGTTTGTGAACAGAAGTGTTTGTGAACAGAAGTGTTTGTGAACAGAAGTGTTTGTGAACAGAAGTGTTTGTGAACAGAAGAGTTTGTGAACAGAAGTGTGTGTGTGCATACACAAATATGTGAACAGAAGTGTTTGTGAACAGAAGTGTTTGTGAACAGAAGTGTTTGTGAACAGAAGAGTTTGTAAACAGAAAAGTTTGTGAACAGAGGAGTTTGTGAACAGAAGTGTTTATGAACAGAAGAGTTTGTGAACAGAAGTGTGTGTGCATACACAGATATGTGAAGAGAAGATTACGTAAACAAACAAATATGTGCATGAAAGAGTGTGTGAATACAATGTACGTGAATAAATAAAGTGTGTGCATACAAGAGTATATGAGGTAGAAAAGAATGTAAACACAAGTGTGGGTGTGTGTGTGTGTGCATTTATGTGTGCGTGTGTGCGTGAGTATATATATATATATATATATATATATATATATATATATATATATATATATTCGGTGCCGAATAGTGGACCTGTTGACTATTCGGTATTCGGCCGAATAGTTGCGGTCGGGCCGAATACGAATAGTAGTTACCTTACACCCGCTTTCGCATACACGGCCTTAATGCTGTCAACATGGAACGATTGGTTTTGTTGAAAGCTAATTCAGCTTTCCTGCATTAACTAAGCTGTCAGTGACAATTTCCAAGTTAGTTACTTGTTATAATACTTAGGATTCTTTCATTCCTCGTTATTAGTTACCACAGACTGACTGAAGGATGCAAAACATAAAATGGACATGGAAAGATTATAAACTCCGACGGCATCCAAGTCGATAATATTAAAATCATGGAAACATATAAGTACTTGGGTGCAAACTTCAACTGCTTCAACATGCTGTGAGAAGAAATACAATCTAAAATACAATCTAGAAATAAAGTATACTATGCCCTTCAACATCTGCTAAAGTCAAAGTGTCTGTTTCGCAACACCAAGATCAAAATATATAAAACATTGATAAGACCAGTCGTTTTATATTGCTTTGAAACTTGAAGCAGAAATAAAAGAGATGAGGCCTTATTAGATGTTTTCGAAAAGAGTATTACGACAAATCTTTGGAGCCATCAAAGATGATAACAGCTGGGAATAAAGAGTGAGAAGCAACAACGTAACACATAATCTGTTTAAATCACCTTTGATCACAGGCATTATGAGAGCTAACATACTAAAATGGTTGGGGCATATTGAAAGAATGTCAGATGACAGAGAAGTAAAACTGTATACACCTGAGAGATAAATGGGCGTAGACCACGAGATAGACAAAAAAAGAAGTTCGAGAGATAATGCCCAGCCAGACCTGCAAACAACTGGTGTCACAAATTGTGAAGAGAAGGCCAGCCAGAGAGATGAATGGAGACAAGTGATATCTGCAGCAGTAAACCTCAGAATGCTAAAGAAGAAGATGGTTCATGCTGCAGGAGATCACATGTTGGTCGCACTATTCCTATTCGGCCGAATAGTGAAAATCACTATTCGGTACAGCCTTAATATATATATATGTATGTATATATCTTCACACCGTCTGTTACTCCCACTTCCTGCAGGAAGTGCAGGGAATGCAGGGGGAAATGCTGGAAGTGGGAGTAACAAGTGACGGGAGCTGGGCTGAAGACTGAGACGGTGTGAACATATCCTCAAGTGATGGGAGCTAGGCTGAAGACTGAGACGGTGTGAACATATCCTCAAGTGATGGGAGCTAGGCTGAAGACTGAGACGGTGTGAACATATCCTCAAGTGATGGGAGCTAGGCTGAAGACTGAGACGGTGTGAACATATCCTCAAGTGATGGGAGCTAGGCTGAAGACTGAGACGGTGTGAACATATCCTCAAGTGATGGGAGCTGGGCTGAAGACTGAGACGGTGTGAACATATCCTCAAGTGATGGGAGCTAGGCTGAAAACTGAGACCGTGTGAACATATCCACAAGTGATGGGAGCTGGGCTGAAAACTGAGACGGTGTGAACATATCCACAAGTGATGGGAGCTGGGCTGAAGGCTGAGACGGTGTGAACATATCCACAAGTGATGGGAGCTGGGCTGAAGGCTGAGACGGTGTGAGAGTAAGCCCAGCCCTGGGATATCATGGCGAGGATCTGAATTGCTGCGGTACCTGTCATCTAGAGACACACAAGCGGACAACCGAGATACTTGTTCAACCCTGGAGTCACAGCAGGCAAGTGGTGATGCCAGTGCTTCAGGTTTAAGGGTTTGTCAGCTGTGCTGAAATGTGCTACAGACGTGACTAGACGCCATTTTGTATATACA